GAGAGAGAGAGAGAGAGAGAGAGAGAGAGAGAGAGAGAGAGAGAGAGAGAGAGAGAGAGTATGCGGGGATGGATGGGTTTCCATGGGTGAACATGAATGAGCAAGATACGCATGCATGTGTGTGTAGGTGAGCAGATGTGGATCTCTGTACTTGGGTGGACAATGATGCACGTACGTAGACAAGCTGGTCATGCATGTGTCGTATGGTCCGTGCGTGCCAAAAGCAGACCCTGTTCACCTAATTTGGCTGGCAACATGACTACGTCAGTGGTATGAATGAAATTTTCAGAATTTTAGAGGGTTTTGTTAGGGAGTCCAGGAGTTCTGAGCGTTCGAAGGACTTCTGTGGCTTTCCATTTTGACTTAGTAATTGCTGCTTGAGTAGCCTAGCAATAGGTCAGCACACGACTCAGCAGTTATCCATGTTTTTCCTAAATTTTCCTGAACCCTTTTAATAGTTCTCAGATTGTTCTTAGCCGAAGCCCGGTAATGGCCCTGGTATTTCAATTTTCAAATGATTTGTATAATTCTATATGGGACACTGGGCCCGGTTCCCAGCACGTGCTGCTCCCCACGAATAGACTGGAGCATTTGTCTCCCCCCCCCCCCCCCCAAAAAAAAAAAAAGTCGCAATGATGCGGCCTGGCAACCAAATATTTGTCTACAAAATGGTGACCATATATATTATATATGTGTTCGAGTCCTTGTTACAGTATTTTCAGGGGGATGCACCTGAAATTCCCCCGGAATAGGTTGCGCGGTTCTGAAAGTTTCATTCCATATCACTGACTGACATTTCCTGCCACAAACAAAAAGAAGAATCTTAGATCTCAGAGATTTTAAATGTATCCACAGATGGCGCCAAATGGTGATCGACGTCGAATCGATATAAGTCAAATGCTCTAAATGGGGATCGACATCCAAGCGATGCACGCAAAGCAGTAGTATTGTTCTTTTTTCTTTCTTTCTTTCTTTCTTTCTTTCTTTCTTTCTTTCTTTCTTTCTTTCTTCCTTTCTTCCTTTCTTCCTTTCTTCGCGTCATGATGTCATCCTCTGAGAAGAGGGCACACTTTTTTTCTTTTCTTTTCTTTTCTTTTTCTTTTTAATGATCCTTCCGCAGGTGTACCTATGCAGGAAACCATGTTATGACTTCTCCTTCTTCTACATGATAAGGGTCAGGTGCAATGAACTTCTCACAGCACCCCAGCGGCAAACCGTCGGGATCACGGCGATCCAGGCACTTCACCCGACCGTTCAATCGGTAGGGGCAACGGCCGGTGGAAGTTCACAAATGGTTAACGGGTTTCATGTAAATGGCATGGCAAGTGGTCTGAAAATTAGGGTCTCCGTTAACCTTCTCTCAGCAGGCACCACTACCACTTGGGGAGAGGTTCCATCTATTGGTGGGGAGCGTCACCTGCTGGAAAATGGGTCCAGCGTCCCATATACAGATGTAAACTGAAAATATTTTTATGGGCCCCTGCCAGCATTGATTACCCTGGGCTCCAGGGGATTGACTGAGCAGGGTATTGAAAAATATCAAAAGCAGACCTGCCACAGAGCCCTTGCTAATCTCCTCTGTATCATTCCAGTTTTAACTTTTAACTTTTAACAAATGTTGCGAAGGACACAGTCGTCGTATTACTCTGAATTTCAGCCAAATCTCAATTCAGTTTACAAATTTACACTAACTTTTCCTCCGGTGTAGGAGATTTTGCTGCCGGACCGGTCTTGGTAGTAAGATGCACCTGGCTGTTGCTGTTCATCCCAATGATGTAACTAGCCTACAAATGAGGAACTGTTAACAAGTGGGGCCTCCCAACGAAAAAAAAAAAAAAAAAAGAAAAAAAAAAGAAGGGGCCTCCCTCAAGCTACAGGTTACCAAGATGTCATGACTTAGGGAAGATGCATATGTGCAGTAAAAGCCATAAAGGCGAGAAGGCTTCATGAGTTCTTGCTCCCCCCCCCAAAAAACAACGGAAAAGAAAACGAGTTAAAAAACTGTTTTCTCGGCCTTTTGGCTAAGATCAAGTGTAGTATCTGTTCTGATCAGTTTAATTTAAAAAAAAAAAA